AACTGAGAGGTTCATCTTAAGGCACTATATCTGACAATATTCTTGTGCTCTTCACCATGTTTCAATATTCAATATTCTAGTGCTATCTGACAGTCTTACACTGCTATTCATAAGGTTTTCAGTGACTAAACATTCGGAAGTAGTCCTTTCTCGGCTTCTTCCTAGTCTGTCTTAGTCTGGAACCTCATCTGAAACCTGCTTACCATGAGTGACCCTGCTGGTACTTAAAATACAGCTTTCAGAATCACAGCAACACGCAAGCCACCACAGTAAGATAAACTGACAGGCAAATGGTAGAAGGTTCCTACTTAGTAATATAAAAATGAAACGTGTTAAGCAATTTCAAAAGTGTGCTGTTTTTTTTTCCACATTTAACAATTTATTATATTGTCATTTTTGTTGTTGTTTTTTTTTGGGGGGGGGGGGTTTGGTAACTTTTTATTGTAATTTCTCCAGAGTATGAGAGACGAAGTTTTGCCATCCTGGCTTCTAAGAAGCATTCTGGTTGTACTTCTTAAAAGACAAAAATCTGTTTGCTCTTCTGACAGTCCATGGCACTTTTAATATTTTATCCAAACACCATAGTTCAATTGCATCGATTCTTCTATGGTCTTCCTTACTCACTGCCCAACTTTAATGAGCAGATGAAGCGATTTAAAATACCATAGCTTAGATCAGGCACAACTTAATCTTCAAACTGGTATCTTTGTTCTTGAACACTTAGATACTCTTGTGGGGTATATTTACTTAATGCAATACACATCATTTGATGTAACTGCTGTTTCCATGGGTGTTGATTATGAATATAAGGACAAAGAAGTCTTTCACGATTCAATCTTTTGTCCATTTATCATGATGTTATTTATTGGTTCAGTTGTAAGGGTTTTTGTTTTCCTTACATGAAGATGCAATCCTTACTGAAGGCTGTATGCAGTATTTGAGCTTTATCAGTATGTACTGTAAGTCCTCTTACCTTGCAACAAGGAAGGTTGTGTGATCTGCATATTGTAGACTGTTAATCACCCTTTCTCAATTCTGATGCTACATTCTTCTTTATATAATTCAGATTCTTGTACTGTTTGTTCACCATATAGATTTAATAAGTATGGTAAAAAGATACAACCCTGGCACACACCTTTCCAGATTTTAAACCATTAAGCATCCCCTTGTTCTGTTCTAATGATTTTCTCTTGGACTATGTACTAATTCCATATTAGTACAATTAAGTGTTTCGAAATACCCATTTTTCGTAATGATCTCCATAGATTATGGTCCACACAAACAAATTCTTTGCAAAGTCAAAACACAAATAAACATCTTTCTGGTGTTCTCTGCTATTAGTCAAGGTCCATCTGATGTCATAAATAATATCCCTAGTTACACATCCTCTTCTGAACCCTGCTTGAATTTCTGGCAGCTCACTAAGGATATACTGGTGCAACCATTTTTTAATTATCTTCAGTAAAATTTTACATATGGTATTATTCAATGATTTCCACATTCTGTTAAATCACCTCTCTTTGGAATAGGTACAAATATGAGAGAGGGTTTACAGACAACAAATCATACAGTTTTACATTCAACAAATCTTACAGTTTTTGTTTCATCTCACTGATTGCAATCTCCTCCATGCAACATTTATTTTACTTTGTACCTGTTGTCCCCATTTCCATTCCACCCACCTTCCCATCCCATCTTAACTCTGTTCATTGACAAATGTCACCCCTTGATTTTAAATGATCGAACATTCCATAGTGAGCATATCTTAAAATTGCTATTGTCCTTCCTATATACCTATCTACTACCCAACTGAAAATGAGGCCACAAGGGTGACTTTTTTTCCAAAACTAGAGAGTAGGGTCATAATGTCAGGTTCTTCCAATCTCTTTGTGACCAGTAAGTCCGGTTTTTTTTTGTTGTTGTTGTTGTTGTTTTTTCGTTATTTTTTTCTTCCATATTTTCACCCTTTTCAGAGCAGTTAGTAGCAGTAGGCAGGCACCGCCTTGTTCTTCTAGTCTTAAATGTTCCACTAGTCCATTGGACTGACTCCAAGCATCTCCAATTCTCATCACTCTTGATTATTTCACACATGGAAAGACCAATAGTTACACCTTACCTTCCAAATTTCCTGACATAGACAACTGAGTGTCTCCAGTTTGCTGACACATTCAATTGATATTCAATCAATTCCTGGATCCTTGTTTTTCTCCAACACCTTCACTGCAGCTTGGATGACTTCTGTGATTATCATTGTTTCTTGATAATATGGTACATCTTAAAATGGATGAGTACTGACCAATTCTTTTTGGTACAGTAACTCTGTGTATTCTTTCCATCTTCTTTCAATGCTTCCTGAATTATTCATTATTCTATCCATGGAATCTATCAATATTCCCAAGACGAGCCTTGAAATTTTTTAGTTTTTCAACTAAAGAAATGATGAGTGTGTGCTTCTTGTTCGATTTTCAAAATCCAGGACTTTGCACATTTAAAAATAATACTCTACTCTGTCATCTTGAGCTACCCTCTGAATTTTTCTGTTCATCTCTTTAACTTACTCATGATTTTCAGTTGTTTAGCTTCTGGACGCTCAAGAGCAAGTTTGGGTCTCTTCTGACATTCATTTTGGTCTTCAATTTCTGACTGAAGAAGCTGGTAGAACTCTTCAGTTTCATCACTGGCTTTACTAGTTGGAGCATAAATCTAAATAATAGTGGTGTTACCTGGTCTTCTTTGTAGGTGTATGGATATTATCCTATTACAGACAGCATTGTACTGTTGTTGTTGAGTGCTGTCGAGTCACTTCCAACTCATATCAATCTTGTATAGGGTTTCCAAGGACTGGCTGGTGAGCCTGAACTACTGACCTTGCGGTTCAAACCGACCTTGCAATCCAGCACATTAACCCATAGCATTATACCAGTACTTCAAGACAGACCTTTACATATTCTTTCTGACGAAGACTACAATATACCATTCCTCTTCAATATGTAGTTTTATGGTATAGTAAACCACATAATTATCTGATTCAGTCCATTTCAGCTCACTAACGCTTAGGGACTGACCTTCATGCATTCCATCTTATCTTTAATGACTTCCAATTTTCCTAGATTCGTTTTTCACACATTCTACCTTCTGATTATTAATGGATGTTTGCAGTTGTTCATTCTTTGAGTCTGGCCTCATTAGCAAATAAAGGTCCCAAAAGCTTTGCTCCATTCACATTACTCTACTTTGTAAGGTCAACTCTACTTTGAGGAAGCAGCTCTTCCCTAGTCACAATTTGAGTGCCTTCCAACCTGAGGGGCACATCTTTTGGCAGTATTATCTGGCAATGTTCCACTGCTACTCATAAAGTTTTCATTGGCTAACCATTCACAAGTGGTCTGGCTTTTCTTCTTCCAAGTTCATCTTAGTCTGGAAACTCTACTAAAACCTGTCTATCATGGGTGACCCCATCAGTATTTTTTTCCAACATTACATCAACATACAAGCCACCACAGTATAGCAAAACTGCAAGATGAGCCATGATCAGAACATGATATAGAATGTAATTATTTGTTTGCTATATGTCTTCCCCAAGTACTAAAATACAAACACCATGAGAATAGAAACTTCAATGTATCTAAAAGCATCAGGAAGAGCACCTGGCATTTATCCTGGAACATGATAAGTGAATGACAAAATACATTATAACAAAGCACTGTGCTACATATTTTATACCAGTTCACTCATTTAAATCCTTAAAATAAACAACTATATACAGAGTTACTGTTACTATTACAAATTTACCAGTAAGGAAATGAAGGCACAAGAAATTAACTTGCATATCACACAGTTTGTCAGCAGTGAAATTAGGATCCTCAATCAAGTGAGTGAGATCTTACAAATGAAGCTTTTAACAAAATGCTTTGTACATAAAATTTCTAGTATTTATCCAATACTTATTATGTGGCAAACATGGATCTAAGAACTTTAAGTGTATTTACTTACTTAATCCTCATATTAATTAATAAGCTATTTATTATTACCATTATTATTAGTAGTAGTAGTAGTAGTATCAGGACACCAACTTAACAGAAATCACATAAAAGATGTTGTTGTGAGAGAAATGATGTCAACTCCAGCCTTACACTTCTAAGAAAACTGTTTATGTATTAAAGGCTAGCACTGGGAGCCACATCAAAACTAACTGAACTCATATGCAGAGACACACATCATAAACTGTGTGTATGCTAGCTTGACCTTGTAATTCTAAAAAGTGAATGCTTTAATACCTAAAGGTAAAATAATCACAAGTCTTTCTCACTAAAAGACAAATCTACTCCCTTCCTAAACACCTGGTTACTGCTTCGTGTTGCACTGTGTTATTCTTAATACATCTTTCAAAGTAGACCTTTTTCATGGTTAAAATTGCTGTTAAGTGCCATCGAGCTGGTTTAGACTCATAACAATCCTGTGTAGGGTTTCCAAAGAGCTGCTGGTGAGTTTGAACTGCCAACCTTGTTGTGTGCAGGCCAGTGCTCATCCTACAGTGCCACACCAGAACCTGTTTATACCAATTTTTTACTGAAATCACCAAGTTAACCTAATCTAAAAAAACCATGCAATTTAAGTCAGTTTTCTTACCAAAAATAAAATTTGAAATTATATCATCTGAGGAAATAAACTAATTTTTTTAACCTTAAGTTAAAGTGAAAGCCATTGGAATTATGATAATTACTTACTATAATTTCCTTAGCTCAACATTGTTGCTATTGTTGTTAAATGCTGTTGAGTTGATTCCAACTCATAGTGACCCTATATAAGGTTTTCAAAGAATGGCTGGTGAGTTTTGAACCACCAACTTTGCAGTTCAAAACAACCTTGCAATCCAGCGCATTATCCCACAGTATCACACATAGCATTTGATTTTTACCATTTATTTCAACCTGGAGATGCTCATTCTTTATTGGTATTAAAGATATGAAAGATTCTAGGTAAAGACCCTTAGAACTTACGGTGCAATAATGGCTCTAGCAGGTCTTTTTGTAGACTGTACTTGAGAAAGCCAGCCTTCTAGTTGTGCATTCAGCTGAGGTCCTATAAAAAGAGAAAAGGGAAAACTGAAGTCAGCAGTGCAATGTGCTATATAGAAAACCATACATGGTACAACCACCTCATTGAACCTATCTGAGATTAAAACAGATTAATGGGCAGTGGAATCAACCATTCAGATATTAATGCTTAAACTTACCAACCACAAAGTCATAGCAAGCCACATGGTAAGGCATTTGTTTTAATCCACTTACTTATTTATCTGTTGTCAGGTCAGGTGCTATCAAGTCAGTTCCAACTCAGTAACCCTGTATAGGGTTTCCAAGGAGCAGCTGGTGAATTTGAACTGCTGACCTTGTTAATTCAAACTGACCATGCGGTCTAGTGCTTATCCTGCAGTGTCAAATGAGGACTCCACTTATTATCTATTACCATCTATATTCTAGAACAACATCATAAACTACGATATGAGGTTGTGTTTAAAAAAAAAAAACAGGGAAAAGGCTGTAAGTACTAGAAAAGAAAAGAACTTTTTGTTGTTGTTGCCATTAAGTGCCACTGAGTAGGTTCCGACTCATAGTAGTGATGGTGGTGGTGATGTGCCGTGGAGTTAGTCCTGGCTCACAGCAACCCTATACAGGGTTTCCGAGGCTATAAATCTTTATGGGAGCAGAAAGCCTCATGTTTCTCCCACGGAACAGCTGGTAGTTTTGACATTGAGGTTAGCAGCCCGGGTGAAAACTAATATACTACCAGAGTTCCTTTCCAACTCATAGTACCCCTGTATAAAGTTTCCAAGAAGTGGCTGATGGGTTTGAAGCACAGATTGTATGGTTGGCAAAGTCCAGTGTTTATACTGTAGGATCACACCATGACTCTGAATACCCTGTAGAGTACCCAGATTTGCCTTACTTAATTGATAAACCAAATAACCTTTCCTTAGAACTCACTTTAACCCCTACTCTTCCCATGATCTTATCAATTAACTATATCACCATGAAAATCTCACTCTCTTCACTTATCTTTCCAGTTTACAAACAGGAATCTGTTGGTGCCAACAGGTCACATGTCCCACACTATCTTCTCTCTAGTCTTCATTTCTTACCCAGCCTGAGATTCAACAATCCATCACTAGAATTATTCCCTTATGTACAGCCTCACTACTTTGTCTTTCCCTTCATTACAGTAAAACTCTTATTAAAAAAGAGAAACCCAACCAAATGAATTGGTCTTGCTTTGAAATTACAAACACAAAATTCAGCAAAATTCTAGCAATACTCAACAATCTTTTCATGTTATCCTAGTCAATTTACTTCCCTTTTTTAAGATGGGGCAGAGTAGAGCTTTTTGCTAGGGTTTCCAAGGCTGTAAATCTTTAGAGGAGCAAAAAGCCTTATCTTTTACCAGCTCAATGTGAAACACACTATACCACCATTGCTCTACTGTTGTTGTTGTTGTTAGGTGCCACCAAGTCAGGACCAACTCATAGTGACCTTATGCACAAGAGAACAAAACACTGCCTGGTCCTGCACCAATATCACAGCTCATTGATGCTGTCACTATGCCAATCCATCTTGTTGGGGTTCTTCCTCTGTCTTGCTGACCCTCCACTTTACCAAGTAGGATGTCATTCTCCAGCAACTGGAGCCTCCTGATAATCTGTCTGAAGTATGAAAGACAAGTCTTACCATTCTGACTTCAAAGAGGCATTCTACCCATACTTGTTCCAGCACAGATTTGTTCATTATTCTGGCGGTCCATGATACTTTTCATACTCTCCTCCAAAAGCATTAATTCATCTATGGTCTTCCTTATTCACTGTCCAACTTCCACATGCATATGAGGCTATTGAAAATTCCATGATTTTTGTCAGGCGTACCTTAGACCTCAAAATGACATCTTTGCTCCTGAACACTGCAAAAGGGTCTTGTGCAACATAATTGTCTAAGGCAGTACATCATCTAATTTACTGACTGCTGTTTCCATGGACGTTGATGGTGGATCAGAGCAAAATGAAGTCTTTGACAACTTCAATCTTCTTTCCGTTTATCTAGATGTTATTTATTGGTCCAATGGTGAGGATTTTGTTTTCTTTACCTTGAGGTGCACCCCATAATGAAGATCATGATCTCTGATCTTCATCGGTAAGTATTTTAAGTCCTCTTAGTTTTCAGCAAGGAGGGTTGTATCATCTACATACCACAAATTGTTAATGAGTCTTCCTTCAATCCTTACACCATGTTCTTCTTCATATAATATACCTCAGACTATCTGCTCAGCATATAAACTGAATAAATATAGTGAAAGAATACAACCCTAGTTCACACATTTCCTGATTTTAAACCATTCAATTTCAACAGAAAGAAGCTCTGGTAGTGTAGTGACTACAAGTTGAGTTGCTAACCTCAAAGTCAGCAGTTCGAAACTACCAGCTGTTCTGCAAGAGAAAGAAAAATAAGGCTTTCTGCCTCCATAAAGATTTATAGCCTCAGAAACCCTATGTAGGGTCACTATGAGTCAGAACTGACTCCATGGCACACCACCACCAATTTCAATAGAATTGGAACCTCCATTGGACACCCTAATGAACCAAAAGATGAAAGTCTATCAAATGAAAAAAAGTGTGGCTGATGTCGAACTGGTATAAGAAGACCAAATATTAGGAACAAACAAGATGGCGGATCTGGAGGAAGTGCTGTAAGGAGCTCCGCCAACAACACAGAATACCCGACCAAGCAGGCTCAGGGGCTGGCCCCAGAACTCTGAACCACATATAAAGCATTGTTTAGAAGGTTGGAAGGCTCACAGCTGGGGGAATTTGTGGCAGAAGCAACCAATCTATTGCTTTCTAGTCCGGGATGCTCAGCTGCTCCAAGAGCCACCATCTTGGGTGACACCACGTGGGTGAAAGATCAGAGCAGCCACAGATGCCTGGCAGAACCGCTGGGATAAAGGTGTGGACATTCTTTTCTTTTGGTATCTGTTCATTGATCCCTTGCTATCTGCGCACCTCCATTCTGGTGACTATAGAGGTGCCTGAGCTAGTGGGTACCCCAGCGCCACTCTCAGAGGGTTCTAATACACATGCACACAGATCTCCTCAAAATTTAAAGAGACAGTTTCCAATTAAAACCAAACGGCCACAGCCGGCCCTGAACTATTTCCAACTAGACAAAAGGACTGAACGGGGATTGTGGAGTGGGACAAGCAGACAAAAGAGGAAATAGGCCAAAAATTAAATCCTAAATTACATCAAAACGACCAACAGTGGTATCTTGAAACTTCTCAGGAAGAAGAGT